TTGGGTTAAACAAATCAATTTTGCTTGGTTGGAACAGCAGCTATGATAATTATGGAATTAACATATTCTCTGTCTTTTGGGCAGTGTAGAGTAGGGCTTGTTGTTTGTCATTTCTCCGATCACAAATGCAGACATGGTTTTATGTTTACGCGGCGCGATGCAACGCAACGCGTAAAAAGACAGTATAAGTCATTATAATCCATAATGATGTCCCCACTGGATGCAACGAATGCCTCGTTTATAATGGGTTTTCATGTTTTTGAATCATCGCTGATTCAGCCTGTAATAATGAATCAGCCTGACAGGGCATCATCACAGTATGGTAGGGGCGTAACATTTCCATCACACGCTTGAGGTATTCGGCCAATCACAACGCACTGGATAGCTGGCCAATCAGAGCACACCTCGCTTTTTCAGACCGATGAGCTTTGTAAAAATCGGCGCGTTTCAGAAAGGCGGGGCATAGAGGAGAAACAATAATGTACAGTATGTGGAAAATAATGTGTTTTTTGAACCTTTAACCACATAAACACATTTCATTACACCAAATACACAAAATAATGTTCTTTTTAGTAGCATCATATGACCCCTTTAACACGTTTCCCAGACAAAATATCGTAATGTGTATACTAAGAAAAAAAAAAGAAAAATTATAAAATAAAACCAGATTTTAATCAGAGTGGGATATAAAGGTTAATTCATAATAGAAGCTCATTCTTTTATGATTTATTTATGAAAAATCCTAAAAGATGTCACGCTTTTATTAATTTTAGAAATCATATTTGCAAAATCTGCACTTAAAACAACAAATTTTCACATATGCGCCTGGTGGTTTACAGACAAACACCTGGTTACGTTTTTACAAACAGAATAAAATATGTGTATCTGCTCAGGGCAGGTGAGATGTGTGTTTGTTCGGGGTCATTTCTCAGAGGTGTTTAAGGTATGGATGACCTTACCGGAGCCGTGTTGCATTCTGTCTCCAGCGGGTCTCCCGTCCGGCCCATATAGGGCTTGTCTGCTCCGGGCAGGAATTCAAGCGCAGCGTTCCAGTGTTAGGAAGCATTCTGTGGGAATTAGTGGGGAATCTCAAACTCGCCAGGCAAGGGCTGTTCATGCTGTAAATCTGACCAGTGCACTAGAAGCTCCAGCCTCCTCCATCACTCCTCATCCACTCACACCTTTCTCAACATCCCTCCATCACACTGGACCAGCACTTACCTTTGAGTGTTTACGGGGGTTATATTCACTATCGCACTATTACAAACTAGTTCAACGCAAACTCCAAATGCTTTTTGGTTTGTCAAAATGGTATTTAGTAACCTGTTTGTCTCATCTCATGTACACTTTCCATGCCTGGATTGGAAAAAGCCTCACATATCCCAAGTTTTTCTGTCCACCTGGCTACATATTCACAGAAGACAAACTCCAGAGATGTTCCACTATCCCTCACTGGCGGGAAAATGCCCACCTGGCGAGTGAAAACCCAACATGGTGAATGTGAGCCAACAGATGACAGCATGTTATTTACACCTCAGGATTGACTCACACAGGAGTTTTTCATCTTAGAGGGTTTCCCCGTTGTTCAAATATCTTATTTGTGTAATAATATTGAATCCTACAAGTTTTTAGAAACTTATAAACAGATTTAAAGTTACCTGTCAGACGTATTTCTAAATCGTCGTCCTCCGCTCATCAGGCGGCGCTGTGGACGCACGTAAACACCTCCAGCGCGACGTGACGTGACGTGAGGTGACGAGGAAACGCAGACGCTGTTTACGCAGACGCAGGTTTGGTCAGTATCTTAACGCACGAAATTACTTTTATTTACTTCATAATGTTCTCATGAATCTATGATTATTAGTGGAAATGATACAAAAACTGCGCAGTGGTTGTTGTTTCGGTCATGTTCGACTTGTATTGGCCATTTTTAGATATATCGTGTATCGGCTGATCATATTCATGCCATTTGTAGTTAATTTGCTTTTTATTGCAATTTTATCACGTTTTAATTTTTTCCACTGTCAATTTAAGTAACTAGTACTGTTATACGTTATACTGTGGTGCAGAATGATTGCCATATTCATATATCATAGCACCATGTCCGAAAAACATAGTATTACCATCGTATTTTTGTAAGAGTTATTAGTCTAATAATCTGATGTATACTTAAGAATACTTATATGTAATAATGTGATTTTTTTCTCTGTCATGTTTTCCCAGCAGTTCTAATCTTATTGATCCTAAAATCATCTGGAACTTATCTTAAACCAGCAAGATGGTATGAATGTATTATATTATATTATTTAAGCCTATATAGTATTTATTGTTTCCATTTTATTTTTAGTAATTTTTGATGTTTCATTTATATAAATTTTGTTTATATATATATATAGCTCGAACATTTGTTTATTTCAAGTTTAGTGCTTCAGCTTAAATTTATTTATTTCAGTTATTTTCCAAGGCAACATGCTTAAGTTTTGTGACCTAAGTTTTTTTTTTTTTTTTAATCTAATATTTATATTTTATTTCAATGACAGAAAATTGTTTTTAAAGGGGAGGTCTAATGCTATTTCATGCATTTTGAGTTGTTTGATGTTTCATTTATATAAATTTTGTTTATATATATATATATATAGCTCGAACATTTGTTTATTTCAAGTTTAGTGCTTCAGCTTAAATTTATTTATTTCAGTTATTTTCCAAGGCAACATGCTTAAGTTTTGTGACCTAAGTTTTTTTTTTTTTTTTTAATCTAATATTTATATTTTATTTCAATGACAGAAAATTGTTTTTAAAGGGGAGGTCTAATGCTATTTCATGCATTTTGAGTTGCTTACACTGTTAAAGAGTTGGATTCTCATGCTAAACATGGCCAAAGTAAATGAGTTGGATGTATGATGGAGTATTTCTGTGCCAAATACACTCCTTCAGGGCTCGTATAACTTTCTGAACGTTTTTTTCGCGTATGGCCCTACTTCTCCCGGAAGAGAGAAGCGGTACAGCTGTATCTGTCTTTTATAAATCTCATAAAACTAAAGACTCTTCAGAGATATGAAGGATGCAATACTACTCTATAGGTACTCGAGATTGGCAGAAAATGTGTGTGTTATGTCCCCTTTAATAGTTTTAGTTGTAGTTAATAATAATAACGCGCTGGTTCTGTTATTACAAAACTATCATGTTAATGTTTGTTCTCTGTTTTAGGGTGAACGTAAAGGAGTAAACAAGTACTACCCTCCTGATTTTGATCCAGCCAAGGTGAGAATGACAAATATTATCTAATTTTTCTGGGTTCTGTTTTGCAAAACTGTGTATATTAGAAACATTCTTCCTGAAATATATATCTCATGCTCTCATAACAGCATGGTTCTATCAATGGCTACTGGAAAACGCACCCGCTGCGGGAGCGGGCCAGAAAACTGTCTCAGGGCATCCTCATCATCCGGTAATTCACAATCATTTAGTGTGTTGTGAATTCTGTCACTGTTTTTTGATTCACATGTGCTGACAGTCTGTGTTTTGTGTTTTTAGATTTGAGATGCCGTATAATATTTGGTGTGATGGCTGTAAGAATCATATCGGCATGGGTATGACTTTGTTGTGCATAAAGTTGTGCATAATACTGTACTACTCATACTATTTCTGCAGTGTGTAACATGTAAAATGTACATAGTTTGTCAGTTGTATTCATGTGTATATATTTAGTTATTCTGTCTTTACAGGGGTTCGATACAACGCGGAGAAGAAAAAAGTGGGCAATTACTACACAACTCCAATATACAGGTGATGTAGCATCCTGATCTCCTACAGTTCAGTTTCATGATCAGTTCATATATTGCAAGGCAGCATATCTTAACCTGTAGGTTTGTGTTCCACAGGTTCAGGATGAAGTGCCATCTATGTGTGAACTACATAGAGATGCAGACAGACCCGGCCACCTGTGATTATGTCATCGTGAGTGGAGCCCAAAGGAAGGAAGAAAGATGGGACATGGCTGAGAATGAGCAGATACTCACTACTGGTGCGAAAACTCATGTTTTATGCCTATCTGTCTGTCTATCTATTTATAAGTTAATCTATCTGTCTCTCTCTATCCGTCCATCTGTCTGTCCATCATCAACATTTTCTGTCATCAGTATTCATTTTGATATTTTCAATATTCTTTCAAATGTTTTAGTATGCATAATATGAAGAAAAATACATTTAAATCATGAATTGCTGTTAATGGATGAAAGTCATCAAGAAATTAAGGCTCATTATGCAGTTTTCTTCTACAGAGCACAGTGAGAAACAGAAACTGGAGACAGACGCCATGTTTAAATTAGATCACGGAGGAAAGGATAAAGAAAAGTTACGTGCGGCCATCCCGTCTCTCAATGAGCTTCAAGAGCAGCAGTCCGGGTGGAAAGACGACTTTCAGCTTAACAGTGCCCTCCGCAGGAAGTTCAGGGTGAGTTACTTGTTGCCCACTGTAGCGGATTTGCATCTGTAATGAAATGCTTGCGTTTTAATCTATTTGTGGTTTGCAAATACAGTCTGAGAAGAAAGTGATTGCTGAGGAGGAGGAGAAAGACAATGCAGTGCGAATGAGGACTGGTCTGTCAATCCCCTTGTTACCGGAAAGAGAAGAAGATAAGAAACTGGCATCACTGCTCACCTTCCAGAGTCCTGACTGTGAGTTTGACCCATTTGTTTAATTTTTTAAGTTATTGATTGATGAATTAATCTTCACCCCTTTTAAGTAAAAAAAAAAAAGTGTTTATTTTGAATTTATTTTTAAATTGTATTATTTTATTCAATTATATAAATATATATTTTGAATTTATTTTACTATGGTTATACTTTGTTTTTTTTTTGTGCTATTTTTATACATCTATTATTGCTTATAACTGAGGATCTGGATAAATCTTTTTCTCTTTCAGCATATGATGACAGACAGCAGTGGAAAAGGCTACAGATATCTTCTCGTTCCTGGTTCATTAGCCCATCTACAGCAGCAGGGGGAGCCGGTGGGAGCCTCTTGCAAAAGTTAGGCCAGCAGGGTCGAGGAGCAGCCGTGGCTAAAGCACTCAGCTCTAAGACACCCAGTTCGCACATCCTGGTACGCAGGAAGTCAGAAAGCAGCAAGACTGAAACCGCCGGCATTATGACCTCCAGCTCATCCCCTGCTGCTAACTCATCAGCTGTAGACACAAACCCCACGGACTCACTTTCTCCTCTCACAAATAACATGAATTCAAGCACAGACTCAAACACTCACAGCTGCACTTCAGAGACACATAAAGGAAGCCCCTCAGAGGAGGACAAAGGCTTTGACTTGTGTGCTGGAAAGTCTCTGGTTGCAGATTATAGTGACTCTGACTCGGGCAGTGAGGTCTGATTTAGACCAGAAGTTGAAATTACATAGCTGTAAATCCTACAGTATCAACATGTATATTAAACAATTAGTCATATTTTACCAAAAAATAAACTCTTCCATATTGAAGAGTGTGTCAGGGTTTTCTTTTTCAACTTTCAAGCTTTGAGCATTGAGCTTGATGTTTTACTCCCTGCAAATGCAGTCATAAACCCCGGACAAAAGGTGTTAGAGTTGGAGCCCAAAATCACATACCAAGAAAGTACTAATTTTGATGAGAAACACGTTTTATGTAGAATATGTGTAGTATGAAAGAAATACAGACATACTACATCCACCATATTATCATGTGACTTTTTCCGTCAGTTGTGTCGCTTTACTGCCATTCACATTTCCTCTCTATTGGCCTCATGGATCCATCAAATGCACACTCCAGAATCTCTGCGGAAACAGTAGTACTTTTCACCTACTGTTTCATGAATATGTATTCGAACATACTACTCTTTTCACATACTGTTTTTCGCAAGTACATAGTATGCATATAAGCACACTGGATGTACATTTGCATGACAATGTAAAAATAATGAAAAAGTTTTTCCTTTCAGTTTTTGAAAATTTTTGATTAGGATGACAACATTGTCAGAACAATCCCCATTCACACAGATCTGTGAAAACAATTAAAATGCTGTAATATGCATGTCAGGCCAGTAGTTGAAGATGCCATTTGTAATGAAACACTTGTCAGCGCACAAATGCATTCTTCAAGTATGTACTCGCACATGCCTACTGTCTGAACAAGTATGCAGTTGTGCTTGAAGCACACAAATTTGGGTTTTTGTAGTTTACACCGAGACGATAACGGTATTGTTTTCAAAACTTGCACTTTGAAACCCATTTTTTCAAAAGTTGGCGTTTTCAGGCCCTCAAAAAACCACAGCCAAAACGCATAAGTTTCCGTTTTCAGTTGAAAACGATGTCCATAAAACAATTCTGAAAATTCTAAGTTGTGAAAATTATGTGATGTAGGACCTTTATCCAGTGCCAATGTAAAACTGTAGTCTATCCCTGGTTTTCATCTGCATTAAATTAAATATGGCATCTAACCTGACTAAAGGTGTGTCCCAAATTGCGTACTTGCACTATTCTATGATGCTTTGTAGTATAAATAATGCAAGTAGTGCGTTCACACTGAAAATTCCAAAAAGAAAAAGTGCACTTTAAAACCCTGATGATTCACTTAAATAATCGGAAAAACGAAGTGTGGAATGTTGGATACTTCATGCACTCAACTGTCGCAGCTTTAATTACATAGCAAAGGGGGAGGAGCTATTAGATTCCAATTATGAATGACAAAATAACCTTATATAATCATGGTTGAGTGTATAGTGCATCATTTGGGACGCAGCTTAAGGTCTACATCGCCCCTTGCGGCAACGCTGAGAATGCAACGCACAATGCCAACAACTCAGAAACACCCTCCTTAGGAGAACGCTGCTCAAATTTTCTTGGGAAAATATAAAAATCTACATTTAACAGCATTTTGTTGACAATAGTAGAAGTAAGAGTTCTTTCTAATTCTGAAAAGCCAGATATCTGGCCATCTGTTTGTGTTTAGAATAAAGCAAACATTACACAAGAGTTTCTCAAAGTTTGGAAATGACGGTGTTGTGGGTTAGTGGGAGGGATATTTGGGGTATTTCAGCTCTCCTGCTGTTGGCTCTGACATACTTGGAGTTCAGTCCAGCAGGACGATGCTCTTTCCACTGCTGTTATGGACGGCATTGCTCTGTCACATTTCAGATGGCCGGTCTTCCTCTCAAAGACAGTGCGTTTAATATTTTATTAATAATGTATACAAATTGTACTTTTCTTCTCAACATTGATTTATAATGTGTTTATCTTGTCAAATGAACAGCAATAGGATAGTCTGGGGACCTAATATGTGAATAGTGTATTAGAATAGAAAAAATATGTATTTTGTGTTGTGTATTTTGTGCTTCTGAGACAATTTTGTGAAATTTTTATAGAAATAGTCGGATATAAAATTGTTTAAAATCAAAAAGTGGTTCATGCTGGGTTCACCTGTAACTGAGTGTGTTATCTGTGTTTACAGTGATCCGGTCATCGACCATTCTCCAACGTAAGTACACAACTGTCCTCTGTCCTATGTCCTTAAAGTTACCACACAGATTCCTAATCAATGTACAAAGAACTGAAAAAAGTTTCTCAGTTTATTGAGTATCATCTGCAGCCTTATGTAGAAAACCTTCCCTCTTTTATTAAAGATACAATGGATTTTTTTTAGGCTAAATCACAATCAATACAAATTGAAGAAAATGATTGGTTGGTAACACTAGATGTCTCATCTTTATATACATCTATCCCTCATAAGGAGGGTTTGTAAGCTATCACTTTTTTTTTTTATAAATTCTGAAAATTCTGATTAACCTGTCGAATTTATCACAGATGATTATGCTTGTTTTGACGAAAATGTACTTTGTTTGACAATGACTTTTACTTTCAAACACATGGAACTGCCATGGGTACTCCATTAGCTCCGAACTATGCAAATTTGTTTTTTGGGGAAGTTTGAGGCAGATTTTGTTTACCATAATAATCCTTTCTTGGTAAATATGAAATGATGGTTCCCTTTCAAACATTCTCTCATGTTGTGTATGGGGAAACTCCTGTTTACACTAATACTGAAGCCTGATTTGTTCACGTTTGTGTAGCTGCACAACCCAATGGCGCTCTAGCCCACCAGAATGGGGCGGAGCCGACCCCTATATAAGTCGGCTCAGAGCGCCATTTCATCAGAATATTCTCCTTCAGTGACAAGGATCATCTTTTTGCTGACACTGGACGGAAGAAGCCGAAAAAGGAAATAAGCTGTCTCTGCTCGCCGAGGAAGTGGTGCAGACGCCTTCCCCTGCGGCTATCCGGCTGAATAAAAGTGCAAATTTCCAAGCACCCTTTGCTTCAAATGTCACACAGCGAGTGTGACTTGTGCAGGGATCCCCTGCTTGAGTCTGACTGGCACAGAGAGTGCATCGCTTGTCTGGGCATCGCCCACGCAGAGGCTGCGCTCGCTGGGGGTACATGCTTTCATTGCGAAAGCATGAGCCTCGCCAGTCTTCGCTCGCAGGTCGCCGCCTTTAATGAAGGCAGTCCTCCCCGCTCTGCTCTCCCGTTTCCTCTCTCTCCCGAGAGAAAGAAACAGCGGAGCAGCGGGATTCTGACAGCGGGTTCGAGCGGTGTCACGTCGGCTCGGCGCCCGTGTGCCCCGCCCTCCCCGCGCCAGTCGCCAGTGTTCTTCACGCAGGAAGTTCATTGCCCCTCTTCTGCTGTGAGCGGCTTGGTTTCCTTCGGCGCCTCGGAGGAAGAGATTACTATCGACGAATCTGTATCTTTGACGGTGTCGGATACAGAAGAGTGGGAGTGTTACGACGAAGATTGTGACACCCTGCCCTCTTCTTGCTCAGCATGGCCAAACGCGGACAGCAAGCTGATCCATGTTCTTTCTAAGGCGGTGGAGGATATCATCTTGGAGTGGTTGGCCTGAGTTGAGCCCGCCCATGGCCTGCTCGACGAGGGGTTCCTGAAAGGACGCCGTCAGCGATCTTCTTACCAGCGGCCCTCTCTATTCTTGCCTGCAGTTCATGAAGAACTGACCAAGTGCCAAGGTCCCCGTCCCCATGTAGTGCGGGACCCTGAGCTGCAGAAGCCGTCCTGATCTGCCTGTAGAGAGGAAGAGGAGAGGGCCGGTTCTTGCCTCGGCCGGAACTCCCTCGAAGAAAGCTTGCGCTCATTCTCCATCCCTCCGAGCACATCTGAGCAATGGAGACATTTTTCAACCCGGGCATGTCCAAACACCCTACCGCTGTAATAGCGGACCCACATACTCAAAAGAGCATTTCTCCTCTCCTCACACAGACGAATGCAAATTCCCCGCCCACACGCGGCGAATTTCCACTCTAAAAATTAGAGTCTCTTGCCACTCAGTTCATGGCCTGGTCAGCCATTCCCGGTGTGTCAAGTTGGGTTCTAAACACAGTAAAACAAGGTTACTCGCTTCAGTTTGCTCGCATGCCGCCTCCATTCAGAGGCATTATTCACCCACACAAAAATCAACCCACACAAGTGAGTTGTTCCCCAGACAACGAGCGGTCTCGCTGGGGACTATTATAGACTCGACTCGAATGCGGGCATGGCTTAAGCGGAACGGTCCCTGCCGGAACGGTCCGGCATCCAGTTACTGGTCGACCCACAAGCGGCGCCTTCACATCAACTACCTCGAAATGGTGGCGGTTTTTCTGGCCCTGAAAACCTTCCTGCCAGCCTTAAAGGGGCAACACGTCCTGATCCAATCGGACAACATGACGGTGGTAGTCTATATTAACCACCAAGGCAGTCTCAGGTCATGCTCCCTTTACAGGATGGCTCGACACCTCCTGCTTTGGGCACAGAGAAGACTCCTCTCTATCAGAGCAGTTCATGTGCTGGGCAGTCTGAACCTTGGTGCAGACTCGCTCTCCAGAGGCAATGTGGCTCCAGGAGAATGGACACTACATTCTCTGACGGTTCAGAAAATCTGGTCTGTCTTTGGGAGGGCAGAGGTCAACCTCTTCGCCTCAGAAGAAAACTCGCTGCCCAATCTATTTCTCTATACAGCGAGACGCGCTGGCCCGGTGGCTGACTAAATACTTTTTTGCCCCACTGTAGGTACCGGTGCTATATTGGTACCAGGTTTTGGAACCCAACCCTAGTCGTAGGCCAGCGCGTATGTAACCGGTATGTAATAGAACCGAATCCGAACGCATATTTCGGTGCCTCATTTCGGTGCCATGCCTGAGCGATCGATTGAAATATTTGTAAACATGCTTAAATTAAAATCCCTAAAGCTAAACCTCCCTTGTATTCACATTTCTAAACCTGTTGTCCAACAAAAGAGAACATTATAACCTTTTTACTCCCACAACACCAGTCAAATGCTTCCTTTTGTGATCTGATGTGGCTTCTTGTCACAGAATGAGGCAGAAAATATGTTCCATATGCTACTTTAAAAAGAATATATCAATTAGCAATAGATTATAAATTAGGGTGACCATACGTCCTCTTTTCCTCGGACATGTCCTCTTTTTGGACCTACAAAAATGCGTCCAGCCGGGATTTCTTAATTGGGCAAAATGTCCGGGATTCGGCTGTTTTCTTAATCCCACTCCTGCTGAATCTCCGACCATTGCCGCCTGCTCCCGCAACTTGGCGCTTTGATCCTGCGATTTTTGTGTCCACTCTTTTAAACATTCTAATATTGTATATAATTTTGGCGCATCAGGGAGCCGCTCTCAGGATGCGGTGTATTTAAATATTTTTGAATGAGCATATGCGCTGTTTACTTTCACTTTCGATTTCACAATCACATGCACTCTGTGTAAAGGGAGCACATCTTACAAGATCAGATATTTGTCCATGAGCTGAGGATCTGTTGAGCAGCAAATACTCCAGCATGGTCTTGTCAGTCATCTCTCCTTATTCTCGACCTGTGATCAGTCAAAGCTGACTCCGATAGATCTTGTTGGATGCAGGGTTGCCAAATCCGCGTTTTTCCCACAGAATTGGGCTACTTTTAAACTGTTGCCATGGGTTGATTTTCCCAAGGTTTGAAATATTGCATAAATTACATTTGACTGAAATGCTTGTATTGAAACATTTTGCATTCTACCTATGATAAAAAACTTTCATGGACTTCTACATTAACTGTTCCCTCTTGGTGGAATGACTTGCCCAGCTCAATCCAAGCAGCTGAGTCCTTAATATTTTCAAGAAACCGCTGAAAACACATATCTTTCATCTTCATTTGACCCTCTAACTCTACGCTACTTCTAATTTTATCTGCTCGTTATGTTTAATTAAAAAACTTGACCCTCTAACATTTGCACTCTCTATTCTATTTCTATTCTAACTACTTGTTTTATTTATAAAGAAAAAAGCCTCTAACACTAGCATTCTCTATTCTTTCCACTTATTTTTTATAAAAACAAAATAAGCAAACAAACAAAAACAACCTTGCTATGTATACTGTTAGGTGAAGCCCCGCCTACGAACCCCGCCCCCTACTGTCCTTTTTTTTGGAAAACTAAAATATGGTCACCCTATTATAAGTATACTTAATTATTATGAAAATACCAGAGATGGCTTAAATAACATAAACTATATTTTCGCAGTCGAGTGTTTATTGTCTTTGTTTTATCATTCAAAACATTTATGTGTTCTGTTTACTCCGTTACAGATATAATAGCGATGCCTTTATCCATATAAGGGATTTCCTGGAGGGTCATGAGTTCTCTACTTCTGTGACTGGATATGTGGATTTTCTGTGCGAGGGCACCCTCTGGCGTCCAGTATGAATGAAACAGTCATCATGTGTTTATAGTGCTAATGGCCAATCCATAATTTTGGGGGGGGATTTTTATTTATTTATTTTTTTATAAGTATCGGTTCAGACACCGGAACTATTTTAAAAGTATAGATTTTGCACCGGTATCGAGAAAAAAAAAAAAAAAGATACCCAACCCTACCCACTACTGTCCCAGATCTCGCCTGTACGCCTTCCCCCCGATTGCCCTGCTTCCTCAGGCCGTCAGGCGGGTCAGTGAAGTCGGTTGCTCAATTCTCCTGGTGGCCCCACTTTGGAGGAACCAAACTTGGTTCCCCGAGTTAATGCAGCTGTCAGCAGCTGCCCCGTGGCCGATACTGTTACGGAGGGATCTTCTCTCACAGGCAAAGGGCATGATTTGGCACCCCCAGCTGGAGCTGTGGAGCCTTCATGTCTGGAACCTCGACGGGAGCCTTTGCGGCTCCCAACGAGAGTGAGCAACACCATTTTGGAGGCTAGAGCACCGTCTACGAGACGGCTCTACGCTCTTAAATGGTCAGTCTTCAGTGACGGGTGTGCAGCACGAAGCCTGGACCTGGTATCTTGTGACGTGTCCCACGTGCTGTCCTTTTTACAAGAGCTACTGGATAACGGGTGCGCCCCTTCCACGCTCAAAGTTTATGTGGCAGCTATCGGAGCGAATCATTCCCGCAAAGCTCTCCAGTCAGTCGGCAGAAACGACTTGGATGTTAAGTTCTTGAAGGGCGCCCGGAGATTGAATCCTACTCGTCCTCAGACCGTACTGACCTGGGACTTATCCATAGTCCTGAGGGCCCTAAAGGGCCTGCCTTTCAAGCTGCTCCATTCGGCCGACTTGCGGCCCATGTCGCTTAAGACCGCCCTCCTTTTGCCATTAACGTCGGTCAAGCGAGTGGGTGACTTGCAGGCACTGTCAGTCAGTGCTTCCTGTCTGGAGTTTGGGCCTAACGACTGTAAGGTCATCCTCAAGCCAAGACACGGTTATGTACCTAAGGTGCTCTCAACTCCGTTCAGTGCCCAGGTTATTACCCTTCTAGCGTTCCCCGCTGCAGACGGCGAGCAGGGTCCCAATCCACTCTGCTCAGTGAGGGCCCTTAGAACTTATTGGATGTTTCGATTAAAAAGCATGTCTCCCTTAAGTCTTAATGAAGATTTTGATCTTAAGTGTTTTCCTAAAGTAGAAGTGAGTAATAGTGGGTGGCGATACAGACTTATGAATGGCTTTTGGCCTGATGTGGTTTCCGTAAATTAGTTTCGTGATTTTTTTTTTGTTTTTTTGGTGGTGTATATTTTGTGTTTTTTCTGTCGTTTTGATTGCTTTGAAATTATTCTTTTGTCGTTCGTCTTTAATTTACTTGATTGATTGGTCGCACCTATGACTCTTCACCTGGTGATTATTGGACTTCATTTTTTTTTTTTAATTCTTGTGGGAAGTGCTATTGTATGATTGTATGATTCACTGAAGAAGGATTGTTTTTGAAACATCTGATTGTTGATTGCTCTGTTGCAAAATAAAAAGAAACTATAATTTATTAAGAAGATATAGTGTGGATCCTTTATCTGTTTTTCAGAAAATGCTCAAAAATATGGGCGCACAGTAAGTGGTTAATCTTGACACACAGTCATGGGGGTCCTGTATTCATTGTTTTATGTTTTATTGTCACGTGACAGCAAAACAGACAAGTGCAGTCTGCTCTGATTGGCCAGCTGACCCAGTGCATTGTGATTGGCCGAACACCGCAAGCACTCGTCGGAAATGTAACGCCCCTTACCATAATCGCGAGCTTCATTTTTCAAAATAAATGCAAAGACAGAGCCCGAAAGGGGAACAGAGTCGCGTGACAGACACAGTGATGAAGCTGGTATGTGTTTGCAGTACACAGCCACGGTTAAGACAGCTGACTCTCTCTCTCACACACACGTGCGCACGCACACACACACACGCGATGCGCAAAACTCCGCATTTGAACAGTCAATAGCAAATACTTAAACTAATAACAAAACAGTAGCTGATTCAGAAGCACCAGATTGTCATAGCAAAGTCAGAATTACCTCCTCTCCTAGGTTCACAAAACGGTCGTCCATAAAATGCATTGCTGTTCTGTTGTAAGTAATCTTAAAGATTCCTAAATGCATCTACTTTCGGAAGGCCAAATAAAGTGCTTTTGCTTTTGCACTGAAACACACAGCGTCTCCCTGACATGGCTGCTTCAACACTAACTGCAGTTACTGAAACCACGCCTTCTTTCTTTGCGTGCACATTTGGGCGCATTATGCAAATATTTCCACATAGTGAGGTAGATATGTGGGGGCGTGTTAGAACGAGCCATTTTAGGGGGGCGTGGCAGAGTCTTAACTTTGATAAAGAATATCTCTTTGGTTTTGAGACTTTAGTCTATGCAACTTCAGGGATCTTATCTATGCACAATCAGCTCGTAACACTCCAAAGAGAAAGGAAAACTTGAAATCGGGTCATATGACCCCTTTAAAACAGATTTATTTATTCATTTACTTATTTATCCTTAAAGAATTTCAGGCTCCCCATGGCTTTTTTTCCTCTCTAGTTTATACATTTTATATATATATATGTATATATATATATATTCGGTAACACTTTACTTGAAGGGGTGTGCATAAGACTGACATGACACCTTCATAAACATGACATGTCACATGTCATGAATATGAAGGAGGTTTTATTCATGTTTATGACACTGTCATTAAGTGTCATTCGCTCAGTTATGTCATTTTTAATGCAAAAAATGACATTATTTGACCTAACCCTACCCCTACCCTTACCCCTAACCATAGCCCATAACAAAGACATCTCAAACAATGTCATCTTTGCATTAAACATTACATAACTGAGCAAATGACTCTTAATAACAGTTGTCATAAACATGCATAAAAAAACCCTTCATATTCATGACATGTGTCATGTCATGATTATGTAGATGTCATGTCATGATTATGAAGGTGTCATGTCAGTCTTATGCACACCCCTTCAAGTAAAGTGTAACCATATATTCTTTCTAGGTTAGACCACCTTAAAATTTTTGACTTTTCTCACCACAAAAACAGAAACATTTTAAAAGAATTTTTAATGTGTGGATACTGAAAACGTGTGTTATTGAATATGCATGTTCTGGTTTAGGTTTTCTGTTTTAGCTCCAGCAAAGATAAGACCGGGAACAAAACAGAACATCCTGCTGGAAGGTCACAAACTGTCCCAGGCATTAGAAGTGTCCATTATGGTCTATGATTACCCAGCCTCCCAATCTGCGTTAATGACGGGCTCTGTTATCCTCAATTCAGACAACAACTACAGCGCCCTCAAAACCATCGAGGTGAAGTTATCTATGAATATGTCTGTTCCAGTTCAGAGTTACATTTGTTTAAATGTTTCACGCTGAACATAAACAAAATGAAATGTTGTCTTATTTAGATTGATCCAAATTTGCTACAATCAGATGGAAAGAAGAAATATGTGAAGCTAGTTGCTCAGTTTAGCAGATTCCATCGCACAGAAAGAGTATTAACAGTGTCATTCCGCTCTGGATACATCTTCATTCAGACTGATAAACCAGTTTACAACCCTGGAGACACAGGTCAGCTTTCACAAGCTTGAGCACTTGCCATACTTACTGCTCATTTATAATGAACGTTGTTCTTTTTTTCTTGATCACTGTATTTTTCAGTCCGTTGCAGAGCTTTTGTGTCTGATGCTGAATTCCATGCTGCTGAGAGGACAATTTCTCTGGAGATTCAGGTGACTGTCACAGTATTTGCAAGGAAATAATTTATTTTTCTGGAATAATGCTTTACTTTACAGTTGGCACATGTTTCAGAATCCAGATGGTATTGCAGTATATGGTATGTCCAGAGCCAAAGCAATCGATGGGATACTCTCTAACACCTACCCCCTCTCATCTGTAGTCAAGTATGCACACAGAACAGAAATTTTATATTATAAAACCAGACAAGTAAAGTTTGTGCAACAAACTTTGAAGTTGACTTGAGAAAGTTTGCCTGAAATTTTGAAGCAGTTGTAAAAGTTTGAAAGTTTAGATGGATAGGTAAGGTAGATGTTGATAGCAAGTTGCTAACATGATTTTAACATGTTTCCTAACATGTTTTTAGCATGATTAACATGTTGATAGCATGTTGATAGCATGATTAGCATGCTGCTAACATGTTTCTAACATGATTACCACGTTGTTAGCATGATTAGCATGTTGCTATGTTTCTAACATGATTAGTATGTTGTTAGCATGTTGTTGGCATTATTAGCACATTGCTAATATGTTTCTTCATGTTACTAACTCTAGGAGGAGATACAGTCCAAATTTTGTTTCAGAAGAAGAAGAAGCTTAAATAGCATTTCAGTAGGTTGGCTTTCTCAAGCCAACATAATAATAATGAATTGACAAAAATTGATATTGATTTACCCGATAATTTAGATATATGGCTGCTGACTGAGTATCTTTTTGATTTGCTAGAGAGGGCAAGTGGAAAGTGGTTGCAAAGTTTGATCAGGGAAAAGAGAACAGCCGAGAGTTTGAAGTCAAGAAATACGGTAAGTCCTTCATATTACCTTCAGATTCTGCTCAATGTTTCTCCGTCAGTGGGTTAACAGCATTTCTCCTTTCTCCCAAGTGCTCCCGGCATTTAATGTCACTTTGTCTCCAAAGACATCCCACCTCAGACTAGATGCAGAAAAGCTGGAGGTAGAAATAACAGCCAGGTGTGTGAATCAAACTGTTCTGAATGATCTCAAATTATTTGGACATTTAAGTAACACTTAAAATTTGTATGGATTTTTAAAACATTATTATTAATTGACTTGTATTCAGCAAGCATGAATTAAATTAATCAAAAGATATGATAGATATGAGAGTAAAGACATTTTATAATGTTACAAGATTTCTATTGCAAATAAATGATGTTCTTTTGAACTTTCTATCAATGAATCCTGAAACATTAAGGTTTTCACAAAAGTATTAAGCAGCAATAACTGCTTTCAAAATATAATAATAATAATAATAATAATAAATGTTTCTTGAGCATCAAATCAGCATATTAGAATTATTTCTGAAGGATCATGTGACACTGAAGACTGGAGAGTAGTGATGCTGAAAATTCAACTTTACAGGAATAAATTACATTTTAAAATATATTAAAATATTAAACATTGTTATTTTAAATTGTAATAATATTTGTTTTTACTGTATTTTTGAATGTGAGGGCATTGACTTCTTACAACTTGTGTTATGTAAATTGTCAAATATTTTGCGGAGTGCTCCCGGCATTTAATGTCACTTTGTCTCCAAAGACATCCCACCTCAGACTAGATGCAGAAAAGCTGGAGGTAGAAATAACAGCCAGGTGTGTGAATCAAACTGTTCTGAATGATCTCAAATTATTTGGACATTTAAGTAACACTTAAAATTTGTATGGATTTTTAAAACATTATTATTAATTGACTTGTATTCAGCAAGCATGAATTAAATTAATCAAAAGAGATAGATATGAGAGTAAAGACATTTTATAATGTTACAAGATTTCTATTGCAAATAAATGATGTTCTTTTGAACTTTCTATCAATGAATCCTGAAACATTAAGGTTTTCACAAAAGTATTAAGCAGCAATAACTGCTTTCAAAATATAATAATAATAATAATAATAATAAATGTTTCTTGAGCATCAAATCAGCATATTAGAATTATTTCTGAAGGATCATGTGACACTGAAGACTGGAGAGTAGTGATGCTGAAAATTCAACTTTACAGGAATAAATTACATTTTAAAATATATTAAAATATTAAACATTGTTATTTTAAATTGTAATAATATTTGTTTTTACTGTATTTTTGAATGTGAGGGCATTGACTTCTTACAACTTGTGTTATGTAAATTGTCAAATATTTTGCGGTTGCCCTATGCATTTATTCCAGGTATCTTTATGGTGAACCAGTGAAAGGTGTTGCATATGTGCTGTTTGGTATTGAAATTGATGGTGAAAAGAAGAGACTCACATCTATGAAGCAAATAAAGGATGTAAGTGGTTAAACAAGAAGAAAACTTTAGTTTAAGAACCTTAAATCAGCTTTACAGTACAAGACTCTTGTTTCTCCATGTCTTATTTTGCAGCTGAATGGAGGAAATGTTAGTTTGTCTATGGAGGAGATAAAGAGGGCCTATCCAGACACAAACAGCCTACTGGGGTCTTCTGTGTACGTCAAAGCATCAGTAATGACCAGCTCAGGTAGGAAAATAATTAATTCTTATTTAATTATTATGCTATTAATTAATAGCAACTGCAAAGCAACCCCTTGGCAACCAGTCCAAACTCTTTAGAATTATTTTTTTGAGTTCTTGTTTTGAAAAAAAACCCCTGTCTCCTTTCTTCTCTTCAGGTAGCGACCTTGTGGAAGCAGAGAAATCTGGTATTAAAATAGTAATGTCACCCTACATGCTCTCCATCAGGGACACACCAAAGTATTTCAAACCTGGCCTGCCATTAGGCATGACGGTAATTTCATTTCTGTTGCGACAGTTACTGCTTGAAAAGATAGTTTACCCTTCATGTCATATGACTTTATTTGCAGAACAGAAAGGGAGAAATGCAGCAACATTTCCTAGCTTCTCTTTTCCATAAAATGAAAGTGAATGGTGGCCACAGGCTGTCAAGCTCTAAAAATGACAGTTTTCTTTTAGTATCATTTATATAGTGTAATAGCATTTATTCAGTTTTTTAAATAAATATATTTTGAATTAGCTTTAATTTATTTTATTTCATTTAAAGTTGTATTAATTGTACTACAACTTATTTTATTACAGTTCAGTACTACTTATTTTTTCAGTTCATTTCTAATTTCGTTGAAGTTCTTAGTTTTTTATTGTAGTATTTATAATCTATTTAATCATTATTTCATTTAACAAAAATGTATAAAAGGTCCAAATGACTTTTGCTCTATATCTGATAGCTTTTGAAGCCATACAATTGTTTTGTGTGACATTAATTGAAGTCATTCACTAAAAAATATGGCTTGCTTGGCAGCTGTGGATTAAAAAATAAACATACATATGTGTGTGTGTGTG